ACCAGGTGAGCTACCAGGGCGCCACACTGCTTTGTGTTTATTATCAAATGTTAGCATGCTACATATATGCCACATCATATCTGCTAAACATCAAAAAGCTAACACTAATTCTGATGGTAGCGTGCTGACGTTTAGCATTAGATCAAAGCACCACTGTACTCAGGTACAGCCTCACAGAGCTGTTAGCATGGCTGTCCACTTACAAAATTGCATTGGAATCGTATGTGTCCAAGTTTATCAATTATTTTTATCAATGCAGGTCTATTTTTCTGACAGTATCGCACTGCAAAATAAACAACTACAACTTGTAACAAGAAGGAGTCATGGTGGAGAGGAAGGAATGCTCCAAAACATGGTTTTATTTCACAAACACTGTGTTCTGACAGAGATAATAAAACAGTTGTGCTGATGCTGAAAATCAGTCTTGGACAACTTTTTTTCAATGCAGAAAAAAGATAAAGATAAAGATAAAAAAATCAGGCTGATAAGCAGAATCGATAATTGTCCCATAAAAGTACTGGTGCCTTTTGTTTTTATGCCCCTAAACTGTGAAACTAACTGCCTCTAGATATTAGAACCGTGAGTTTTCTCAGTATTTTTAAAGGGAAATTAATCTTTTTAATCAGGCTTTTACTTTCGAGTAATGTTAGGTTATGTTTGGTTGCTCATTTTACTAATATTTTGTAGAGATGGGCTTGAATCTGGCAAATTAATTATTTATTTTCTATTTCATTATTTTTTTGACTAAATTAAAAACAGTTTTCAATAGTTTAACTAGTTTTTTTTATGGCACTAATAAAGAACAGCATGGAAAGATAAAAAAGAAAAGGAGGTAAGAAGAGGCAGTTTAAGTGTAATTTTCAACCAAAGGGAGAAAGAAACACTGGATGGAAACAAGAAAAGGCCTGTGTTATCATGTCTGGGAGGAAATAAGTGCTTCAAAAACCTATGCAGAATGCCATAAACACTTAAACTGTAGTGGGAATACAGAGGAGCAGGAGTAATGGACAGAGCAGCAGACCGAGAGACGAGTTAAGAGAGTGTTATCCATAATTCAAGTTTCCATGCATGGAGGGAACAGTGCCGAGAGAAAAAGAGAAGTCTATTAAAAGATAAGGATGAGTCTATAATTTAAGGGGAAATGAGCTGTCCAGAGTTGGCAGTGCAAACATTATAAAAACAAAAAAGTATTGCAGTCATTGACAGATATTGACATGCTAAGAATACAAGAAGTGATGGCAGTATCAATAGGAAGCAGGGAGAATTGATTATGATAGTGTATCGTCTTTGTGGAAAAACACACTAATGTACGAGTTCTGATAACCTGCTGACAGCCCCTCTTGTCTGTGAGTGTGGGGGAGTTTTGTGATGGAATGTGTAATACTGTTAAACAACATGGCGTCCTGCTTTCCTCTCCAATAATGTTCGGTTATGACACGATGAAAGCGCCTCGCAGGCGAACAACAAGCTATCAAACCCGGGTATCCACGAGCGAAGGTTTCACAGCTTTGTCTTTTATTCATGATGACAGGGTGGCACAGTTGGACATCCTCTCAGTTGTTGCAATTTTTGCTTTCGTACCATCACCTGCCTCAAAACTGTCAACTACAATCCATCATTTACAGTGCACGGCTTCCCATGGAGGATATTAGTTTGTTTTTTCCCCTCAGACAAACAAAGAAAGAAAGGGAGGGAGAGGCATAGAGAGAGAGAGAGGCGTGTGCAAAGTTCCAGGCTGTCAGTTTTTCAAGGATTAAGATGTATCCAATTTCCACATTTTGGCAAAACAAATGAAAAATAAAAGAGGCAAAAATAACCGCGAGTGCCAATCCATCATGCAGCTTCTTTCTCCGTCTCTGTATTTGCTTCTTTAATCATGTCTGAGTGGTGAGAGAGAGGCAGTGTCTGCAAGATAAAGCTGTTTGATCTCCTGAGATGGCCGCGTTCGCCTGCATCCGCCTGAATCCGCCTTTGTGTCAATTTCACCAATTACAAAGCACTTACACAGGTAGGGGACACAAATATACAGCTGAAAATTAGTGTTAATGTTGTTCAGTTTGTTGTGGATGATGGTAGAAGAGAAGGTTGATTGCAATTCCTCTGGCTCTCCAGCAAACAGAGTTGGCCCGAGCCAAATCAGTACAAACGTATGCGTGCAATCATGCAATGTGCTTCATGTAGCAACTTGGGCAATAGGCCTTTTTCACAGCAGCCATTTTGACATTAAATATAGTAGGGTAAACACAGGTGATACTAGTGATGCTAATTAAAGTTCTGTTCCATTCAGCTCAAACACAGTCAGGGTGCTGTTGTTTTTGCTCATTGGAAAGGCTCTGCTACACTAAATGGTATAATTGTAAACTGGTTTGTCCGTTCTGGGCTACTGTAGAAACAGAGTGGTTTAACATAGCGAACTCGATGGAAGGCGACCTGCAGCGTCTATAGATAAAAATGTCTCATTCATTCTAAGGTAACGAAAACACAATTCCTATATTCAGGTGAATTTCCTTACAGGAATACTTGATACTGATTCAGGCCTATGAATCAGTATTAGTGCTGATTCAGGCCTATGAATCAGTATCAGTGCCGGGGGCGATCTCAGCATATTTTAATGGATCGGTATTGGCTTAAATAAACCTGATCAGTGTAGCCAGCAGCCAGGCTCTACACTGTGGGCATTTTTACTGTATTTATGTGTAAAATTTAGAGGTTGTTAATGTGAAAAGCCTGTTTGCACCTGGTATTAACCTGCATCTTTGTTGATCCGATCACAAGTGGACAATGTTCTTTGTGCAAAAAACAACCTCCTCTACTGCTGTCCGCTGTGAGTTACTCTACGAGTGACAGGCTGTCAGTAACCCACGAGGAGAGACGCTGTGTGATGGGAGCTTTGTCTTTGCCATCTGTGACGTGAAAACATCAGATTTCCACACAGCTGAAAAGGTAAGTGTGTCCTGCTCATAAAGTTACAAAATCCCCCAGCCACCATGGAGCGTCTCTGCTGCAGGGCTGCTGACAGCAATGTAAAAGCGATGGGCTGTAGGAGTTCAGTGTGTAACACAACTGGAAAAAAAACAGGAACAAATAGTAAAATCTTCGTATTGAGCAGCCAACTGGATAATAATAATGAAGACTGACAAAATTCTGTGTAGGGTTCAGCCATAAAAGTGTATATTTGCATATAGAACAGGGAAGTGAGATCCGATCACTACACCAGTCTGCAAAATACACAAGTTTGCTAAACCCAGATGCTAACAAATCTGTTGTTCTTGTCTTTAGAACAGGAGGGTGAGGCGAAGATGGTGCAATCTGCAACTACACCACAAGATAGAAATCAGAAAAAAAATGGCGCACTTTGAAATTAATTAAATATCGCTTAATTTGGCAAAATAATCTTAAAAATTATAGAAAGGCCCTCCGTAATGCCAGAGGAGCCTTTTACTC